GCCTGTGGCCTCCATTTCACCAGAAAAATGCTGCTCCCAATGTGTTGGGGAGTGCCTGTGCCCGTGTGCTTGCAGCTGGGCTCCTGCCTGTCCGTGGCTCACTCTGGGCAGGGTGGTTGTCTCCATGCCTCGACTCCCAGATCCAGGCAGGATCTGCCCTCTATGGGCCGAGCTTCTGAGAGCTGTTGTGTCCTGCAGCCCCGGGTTTGTGTGGAAAAGGGATCCCAGCCGGGGACTGACCCAGGCTCGTGCCTGGCATGCAGGGGGAAGGCTGCTGGGCCACATGCGTGCCGTGTGCCCAGCTGTGCGTGCCCGGGTGTCTCTGCAGGCAGCAGGACCTGTTCCGGGTGCTGAAGGCGTACACGCTGTACCGCCCCGAGGAGGGCTACTGCCAGGCCCAGGCGCCCATCGCCGCCGTCCTGCTCATGCACATGCCGGCCGAGGTACGGGCACACGGCTCAGGGGACAGCTGGCACCTCTGGGAGGGTGTGGGGCCCCTTGGGGGGTGTTGATGAGTGGGGTGCCCGGCTCAGAGCAACACAGAGTGCCCCAGGGGTGCTCTGCTGCTTCCCACCCTCTCCCGTGGTCCCTAGGAACAGGGAGTGGGCCACAGGAATGCCCTCTGGGTGCTCACCTGCTGTATCTTGGCTTGCAGCAAGCGTTCTGGTGCTTGGTGCAGATCTGTGAGAAGTACCTCCCTGGCTACTACAGCGAGAAACTGGTGAGTAAAGTGCTCATGGTGCTTTCAGCAGTGGCAGGGACCTGCAGGGTTCTGCATCTGGGTTGGGGCAACCCCCAGGATCAGTCCGGGCTGGGGATGAAGGGATCAAGAGCAGCCCTGGGGAGAAGGACATGGAGGTGCTGGTTGGTGAGGGTTGGCCACACCCTGGCCATGTGTCCTGGGCTGAGTCCCCAGTGTGCGCAGCAGGGGAGAGAGGATCCTGTCCCTCTGCCCTGCGCTGGTGAGACCCCACCTGCACAGCTGCCCCAGCCCTGGGGCCCAGCTCAGGAAGGACCTGGAGCTGCTGGAGCCAGTCCAGAGGAATCCATGGAGCTGCTCTGAGGGCTTGAGCCCCTCTGCTTTGGAGCCAGGCTGGGAGAGCTGGGGGTGCTCACCTGGACAAGAGAGGGCTCCAGGAGAGCAAAGGAGGGACTTGGGACAAAGGATGGAGTGACAGGACACAGGGAATGTCTTCCCAGTGCCAGAGGGCAGGGATAGATGGGATATTGGGAATGAATTGTTCCCTGGGAGGATGGGCAGGCCCTGGCACAGGGTGCCCAGAGCAGTTTTGGCCACCCTATCCCTGGCAGTGTTCCAGGCCAGGTTAGACAGGGCTTGGAGCAACCTGGGATAGTGGAAGGTACCACATGGCAATTGCGTGGAATGAGATGAGTTTTAAGGTCCCTTCCAACCCAAACCATTCCATGATTCTGCATCTCCAGGCAAAAACTTGTCCAGCTCCTTACCCTAGGGAAGGAAGGGGTCTCGGGAGGGGCTGGGTATTCTGAGTCTCCCTGTTGTGCTCTGGCTCCCAGAAGCATTTCATATTCAGAGATGAGGGTGTCAGTGCAACATCCATGGGACACAGCTCTGTTCATATCAGGTGTGGAGGGTTGGCTGCCTTTGCTGGGGCCAGGCACTGGGAGCTGATCCCAGGGCTGGGGTATTCACTGGGATGCTGCTCCCTGTCCCTGCAGGAAGCCATCCAGCTGGATGGACAGATCCTCTTCTCACTGCTGCACAAGGTCTCACCTGTGGCCTACAAACACCTGAGCAAGCAGAAGATTGACCCCATCCTGTACATGACAGAGTGGTTCATGTGCGCCTTCTCCCGCACGCTGCCCTGGAGCTCCGTCCTGCGCGTCTGGGACATGTTCTTCTGTGAAGGTGGGAGCTCCCCACCATCCTCATCCTCCTCCTGGGCTGACTGCACTCCCCACAGCCATGGGACTTGTAGCAGGGCAGGTTTGGGGCAGCCACATGCCTGGGGTGGAGGTGGACTGTTTTCCTGGGGATTAGGAAGCGTGTACATCCCAAATTCACCCTCTTGCATGTCGTGACTGTTAGTGAGGCTGGGATCTGCTGCCCCACAGCATTTGAGAGACATGGTGGCAGTGTCACTCTGTCCTGCCTGGTACTCACTGCCTCACGTCTCCTCTTGCAGGAGTGAAGATCATCTTCCGGGTGGGCCTGGTGCTACTCAAACACACCCTGGGCTCCTCGGACAAACTCAAATCCTGCCAGGGCCAGTATGAGACCATGGAGAGGCTGAGGGCCCTCAGCCCCAAAATCATGCAGGAGGCCTTCCTGGTGCAGGAGGTGAGCTGCTGGGGACGGTCTGGGGTCCCAGTGCCACCCAGCTGGCCAGTGCTGCCAGACTGGGCTGTCCCTGGGTGGGCGGAGCATGGGCAGCAGCTCCCAAAAAGCTTGGTTAGCATTGCCTGTGCCCTGAGGGGGATCCCACACCCAGCCCCGCTGGCACTGTCGCTGATGGCACAAGTGTCCCCACAGGTCATCGAGCTGCCGGTGACGGAGCGTCAGATCGAGCGGGAGCACCTGATCCAGCTGAAGAAGTGGCGGGAGACGCACGGAGAGCTGCAGTGCAAGTCCCCCCCGCGCCTGCACGGGGCCAAGGCCATCAGCGAGGCGGAGCCCGCGCCGCGAAAGGCGCTGGAGCCCGTCCCCTCCATCATCGTTTCCCCCGGGCCCGCCCCCGTGCCCAAAGCCCGCAAGAGCAAGGAGAAGAGCCGGGAAAAGGGCCCGGCCAGTCCTGCCAACGGCCCCGGGGCCGAGGGCAACGGGGCGCCCGGCACGACCCGGGAGCTGCTGCACCCCCAGGTCTCCCCCCACCACCAGTCCAAGGAGAGCCTGAGCTCCCGGGAGAGCGAGGACACGTACTTGTAGGGCCCGGCCCGCACCCCGGGCAGCCGGGCTCAGCGGGGCTGCGCACGGACCCGGGCGCGAGGACACCGAGGGGGACCCCTGGCACCCGGCGCTGGGGGCTCTGAGCTGGAGGGATGGGACAGGGCGGCTGTGCGGCTCCGTGAGAACAGCGTGGCCCTCTCAGGGCATCCGTGGAGCTTGGCCAGGTGTGGTGACCAAAGGGGACACCGTGGGTCTGCGCTGGGTGCCCACCCCGCAGGGTGCTGGCACCACGAGCGGTGGGAGCCCGGGCAGGGGGTGGCTGAGCCACCCGAGCTCCCTCCCCACACTGGGGGGCTGGGCTGCCCCTTGGGCCCTTCTCCCCGTCCCAGAGCCCCTCGACCCATCACCCCCCGGGTCCCTCCTGTAGCCCCCACTCTGTGCCAGCCGGGCAGCCCCAGCCCCGGTTCCCGAGCACTTAGGCCTGACACAGGGCACTGGGGGTACACGAGGAGCCCTGGGACCCCTCGCCCCCCTCTTATCTAGTGAGGATATATCAAGCTGTAGCCCTATATGTAGTACCCAACTTACCTACTCACTGAGCCTATTTATTATTCCTCCGAGGCAGGACAGGGACCGAGGCAGGATGCGCTAGAGGCAGCGGGATTTGCGTTTTGGGGCTAAAGCCCCCCCCATCCCATCCCCTCCCATCCCCAAGTTCCCCACAGCTCAGGGGGAGTGTTTACCCTGCCAGGGCTCACCCCACCACTGCCGCCCCCCCAGGCCCAGCGCAGGTGAGACGGGGTGGGTGAGCAGCAGCCAGGTGCTCCCTGGTTGTGGGGTCCCCTCTGCCCCCCCTGCCCTCCCCGAGGGCGGGTGGTGGGTTTGTAAAATAAAGTGGGAAAAGCAGTTTTGTACAAAGGGGTCAATAAAGCGAGTGTGTAAAGGCGCAGCCCTGGCTCTCACCTCTCTTGGCCTGGGATGGAGGGTGGCAGGAGGCAAGGGTGTCACCTCCCACTTGCTGCAGCAGTACCAGCTTCGGGGGGCACCCTGACCTGGACCCTACCCATGGTTCTCTGTCTCTGGGGAGCACCCTCCCCTGCATCCCATTTGCACTGGACACTGACTCTGGCATGCACCCCTCCCTGGGTCCCATCTCCCCTAGCTGCCCTTGTCCTGTGGGGCAGATGCTGGGCAGTGTCCTGGGAAGGGCCACGCTGCTGTCACTGCTTTGTCACTGCTCTGTCACCGCAGAGGGTGGCACAGCCCTGCTGTCTCACCCAGCCTTGGGCTGACCGTTTGAAGTGGAATGGGAAGAGACGAGACCTGCCCCAACTTGTGATAGTGGTGATTGCCAGGCTCTGGAGCACTCCCATCCCAGCACCCAGGCCTTTCCCCTTCTCCCACTGTCACAGCTCCTGTGGCTGAATACAGCCAGGGGACCCCTAATTAATCCCATGACACCCCAGAGCTCAACTTCCCATCCCAAAATGGTGCCCACACCATCTCTCTCCTTCTGGCAGGCAGGAATTTTGCCCAAATCTCCATTCCTTCCTTCACAAACCCCTTTTTCAGGCGGTGGACCTGGTTTGGTGAATCCCCTCTCCAGGCCCGGTGTTGAGTATGTGGGACCCGGCTGGTTGCAGGGGGTGGGGGTAGAGTGTGGTTGGCAGTGGCTCCCAGAGGGTCTCCCTTGGTTGCGCACCCCGGTCTGTTGAACTGAGGCTGGTTTGGGCACCCCCAGGGCTGCAGTTTGGGGATCCCCGGGACTCTGAGTTGGAGCTGCTCCAGGCACCCGGGGTATTGGGAATTGCCCAAACCAGACTGGGAATTTGGGCTGGTTTGGGCACCATGGAGTCCTGCACTGGGGCTGTTTCCGAGGCTCCGGCGGCTATCCCGGGTCTCCATCCCGGGAGCTCTGGACTGGGGCTGCTCCCGGAGCGCCGGGCCCGGCTCGTTGCCTCTCTCGCGGTGCGGGGCCGTGCCGGGCTTGTCCCGGGGCGATGCCGGGTCGGGTCCCGAAGCAATGCGGGGCGGTCCCGGCCCAGGCAGGCGGTCACAGGGCGGTCCCAGCGAGGTACGGAGCGTTCCCGGATCGGTCCCTGGGCGATAAGGGCGGTCACAGGGCGTTGACGAACCGAGGCGGGGCGGTCCCAGGGTGGTTCCGGGGCGATGTGAGGCGGTCCCGGGGCAATGCGGGGCGGTCCTGGGCCGGTCCCGGGGCGATGCGGGGCGGTTCCGGGGCGGTCTCGTGTCCGCCCTTATAGCGGCGGCGGCGGCGGTTCCCGGGGCGGCGCGGCCGCCATGGACCTGCACATCCTGGAGCACCGGGTGCGGGTGCTGAGCCTGGCCCGCCGTGGGCTCTGGCTCTACACCCACTCGCTGCTCAAGCTGCTCTTCCTGCCCCAGCGCTGCCGGTACCGGCTTTTCTCCCCCCACCGGCCTCCTCCTTCTCCTCTTCTTCCCCCGACTCCTGGCCCCGGGAGACGGCGGCGGTTTTGAGGTCAGCAGCACCGATTTCTTCTGCTTCAGATGCAAGTTCTTCAGCCTGACGGAGACCCCCGAGGACTACACGGTCATGCTGGACGAGGAGGGCTTCAAAGGTACCGAGCGGTGGCCCGCTGGCAGGCGGGCTGGCACCGCAGGCACGGGCTGCGCGTCCCCAGCCCGGCTCCACGCCTGGGCCGCGGGGAGCGAGTCCCGGCTTGTGCTTGGCTCCCTCGGAACATGCCCGTCCCGTCCCCTCGGCGCCTGCGCCGGGGGTGTACCGGCTTGCCCGGCCGAGGCTCTCCCGGCGTGGCTGCCCTCGCTCCGACAGCCCCTCCCGGGCGGAGCTGCCCCCCGGCTCGTGGCGCCGTGCGCGGCTGCTCCCGGCAGGGCTCAGGCACCTCCCGGGATGCCCGCGGGCAGCGCTCCAGGCTCTGGCAGCGCTCCTGTCATCATTCCCGCGTCCGGTTTCATCCCGTCCCTCCTCCCGCCGAGGGCCAACTGGAGCCTGGCAGAGGAGGGCAAAGCACAGGCCCAGCCAGGCTGGCAGGGGTGAGCCCTGTCCGGCAGCAGGGTCCAGCTTTTCAGGTGTCCTGGAGTGGTTTGATCCCTTCCAAGCCAGTCCCTCTCCCAAGGGAGGTGCCATTTGGTGACGTCCCCACCGCGGGTGACCTGGCGCGTGCCGTGCATCACCCTCACCGCCAGCCCTGCCGGGGTACCGGCCCAACGGGCTGAGCCAGAGGGTCCGGATCCCGGCCCGCCTTCCCACGCCCAAACCTTCCTGCCGCGGCCGCAGGAGCTGGGCGCAGCGGATCCTTGGCCGTGACCCAAGGAACAAGGGTCAGCGCTCCGGCCACGGACACTCATGGCCAGGTCCCAGGCTCACCTCCTTGTGCTGTGGAACGAGACCGTGTCCCGGGCTCTCCCCACTCCCAGAGCCAGAGCTGTTCCCCATGTATTGTTTTATTTTGGGGCTTGCAGACAAATATTCCTCAATCCCGAGGGGAGGGCGGGAAGTGCTGAACAATGGTCCTGCAAGCCTGCGGCCCGCAGTGCCCTGTGAACCCCCCTTGGCTGGGGGCTGCCAGTGTCCCCCCGCTGCCGGGCTGGAAGGGGACCCCCAGCAGAGGAGAGCTGCACCCCCTCTTCCCTTGGGATCAGGATTCAGCCCTGGGGTGGGTGACACAGGGACAGCGAGGTCCCCTTGCATTCAGCCTCGCCCAGGGTGGTGTTGAAAAGCAATTAAACGCTGAGCTCTGGGACAGGTCCCCATGTCCCCGAGTCCCTGTCCCGCCCCCCTGTTCCCAGCACTGGGTCCTGGGCCGGAGCCGAGGCTGTTCTGGCGCTTCCTGCACAGGAACAGGCGCTGGGAACACCCGCCGAGGCCCTGGATCCGGCCCTGCTCCCGCCCTGCCCTGGGCCGAGTTTGGGAGGGGGGTACAGAGCCTGTCCCCTGAGGGGGTCCCTCTCAGTGGGTGCTGGACCCTCCCCCTGTGCGACCTCCCCTCCACCGCTGGTGTGATGAGTTTGGGGTCTCAGATGGCCTTGGGGCTGGGGGCTTGTGTGATCTCCCATGGGAGCTGCTCCCACCTTGTCTCCATGGGAGGAGTGGATTGGAGACCCCCTGGGTGCCCGGGCCTGTCCCGTGCTGGGAAGGGGAGCCCAGAGAGGAGGGGGCAGCCTGGCTGAGTCCTGGGGTGCCCCAGCAGTGCCAGCCCCTCTCCTGGGCAGCAGGGTGGGAGCAAGGGAGGTGGGAGGCAGGAACAGCAGGCCTATGCCCATCCTGCCAACATGAGCAGATTTTTGGGAATTAGCTGTGGCCCTCTGCCAGCCTGGGCTCTCTCCACCAGGCTGGGACCAGGTGCTGGGACCCCCAGGACTGCGGGATGGCCCTCCCTTGTCCCCTCCAATGCTCAGTGTGCATCCCTGAACATCCCTGGTGGTGGGCGCTGGGCTGGGGGTTCCTGGGGGCAGAGGATGAGCCGGGCAGCCCCATGGCTCTGGTGGTGCTGGTTTTGGGGTGCAATGCCAACACCCCCCTGCACCCAGCCTGGGGCCCTGGCACAGGGAGGAGAGACACATCTTGGGGGTTGGGGGGGCTGTAGCCTTGGCCCCCCTCATTCCTATGGCCAGATCCCAGTGTGGAGCAGCTGAGCCCTGTCTGGCTCATTCCACCTGTGGATGTGGCTCATCTGCACCCCAAACCAGCGTCCCCCCCTGGGGCTGATCCTGCCTTGGGGATCACCCAGGGGACAGTGTGGCACACAGTCCCTGAGCAGGCCCTGGCTCTGTGTCCGGCTGTGCCGAGCCTTGCAGAGCCACCTGCCCCAGTGTCCCTTGTCCCTTGCAGAGCTGCCACCCTCCGAGTTCATGCAGGTGGCAGATTCCACGTGGCTGGTGCTCAGCGTCGTCTCCAACGGGCGGGAGCCCCCCGGCTGCCAGGCCACCGGTGTCACCAAGATCGCGCGCTCGGTCATTGCGCCGCTGGCCGAGCACCACGTCTCGGTGCTGATGCTCTCCACGTACCAGACCGACTTCATCCTGGTGAGTGACGGGCACGGGGGCACGTGGCTGGCTGTCCAAGGGTCCCTCTGTGCCCTGATCCTGCTCCCCGGGGCAGGTGCGGGAGCGGGACCTGCCCGTGGTGATCCACACGCTGGCCGGGGAGTTCGACATCTACAGGGAGGAGAGTGGCGAGTGTGTCCCCATCACCTGCGATGACGTGAGCAACGGCTTCCTCAAGCCCAAGCCACGTGAGTGACACTGGGCTCTGTGTCCCCTGGGGCCACCCAGTCCCACCCAGATGCTCCAGTACAGCTTGAGGGACCTCCAGGGCTACCCTGTCCTCAGCGAGGTGATCCAGTTCCCACCAGTGCAACCCCCATCTTTGGCTCCCCCAAGGCCACCCTGTCCCCAGACCACACTGTCCCAGAGCCATCCAGTCCCTGCCAAGATGCTGCTCCCACGGGTGGGTCCCACATCCTGGGGGACCCCGATGGTCACCCTGTCCCCAGGACCACACAAGGACTGTCCCCAGTCCTTGCCAAGGTGCTCCTCTCCCACCAGTGGTACCTACATACCTGAGGGACCCCACCAAGATGCTCCAGTTCCCACTGGAGATGCCCATCTGGGGCCACCCAGTCCCTACCGAGATGCTGCAGCTCCCACCGGTGGTACCCACATCCTTTGGGACCCTCGGGCCACCCCTCTGCTCCCTGAGAGACTTCGGCTGTGGGCGCGGTGGCCACGGGGTGGCACTGCGGGACTGTCCCCGAGCTGTCCCCAGGCCTGACGCGCGGCCGTTCCCCTGGCAGCTGCCAGCCCCACGCTGCACCCGGTGCAGAGCCCCCAGACGCGCTTCTGTGTCCTGACGGTGGCCCCCGACACGCTGCCCGCCATCGCCACCATGCTCATCGACGTCCTCTTCTACTCCCACAGGTGAGTCCCGGGGATGGGGACATGGGAGTGACCTCTTGCCTGGTGCCACCTGAACTGCGGTGACATTGGTCCCAGCGGGTTTTCAGACTCTGGGTGTGTTTTCCAAACTGGTTTTGTCTTCCCGGGAGCTGCACTGTGAAGGATGGGAACCCTGAGGTGACACAAGGGACAAAGCCACCATTGTACCAAATCCCAGAGAGAAGACTAAAGCAGGAGGGGATGGGTTTGGGAAAGGCAGTGGGAATGGTGCTGGGGGGAGGGAATCCTGGTGGGGTTCTCCCATGCCCCCTGGGATGGGGTCCCTTCTGGTGGCATGCTCCCGCTCCAGAGTGACCATGGCCTTCTGAGAATGCCCCAAAACCTGGTGTCACCTGTGAGCTGCAGACCCTGTGGGGACCACCTGCTCCTGTCCCCTCTTCCCCACCCTGCAGCACCCCAGCATGATGCTCAGACACCCAGTGCCACCACCAAGCCCTTCTCCTCCCCATTTTGGGGGTCGTGACCCCTCCGTGTGTCCCCCTGCCCCTCAGCAGCCCCCCCTGGGATGCAGCCACCGGCAGCCAGGACCTCGACTCCATCACCTTCTTCTCCTTCTCCCTCATCGAGGGCTACATCTCCATCGTGATGGATGCCGAGACCCAGAAGCGGTAGGTGCCATCCCGGGGCTGTCTGTCCCTCTGTCCCTGGGTCTGGGGGCTCAGGGAGGGGGTGACACTTGGCTTCATCCCCCTCAGCTTCCCCAGTGACCTCCTGCTGACCAGCTCGACGGGGGAGCTGTGGCGGATGGTGCGCATCGGGGGGCAGCCCCTCGGCTTCGGTGAGTGAGGCCGTGCTGGCCGTGTCCCCTCTCGTGCCACTGCCACCCAGGAGGTGCTGTGGGGCACTGCTGTCCCCGCACGTCCCCGTAGCAGTGACCTGAGGACCCCTTTGCCCCCAGACGAGTGTGGCATCGTGGCGCAGATCGCGGAGCCGCTGGCGGCCGCCGACATCTCAGCCTATTACATCAGCACCTTCAACTTCGATCACGCCTTGGTGAGCCCTGCCCCTCCCCGGGGACCCTGCCAGCCCCGGGGTGTCCCCTGAGGCTGACACCCCCTGTCCCCCGGCAGGTCCCCGAGGAGGGCATTGCTGAGGTGATCCAGATGCTGCAGCAGCGGCAGGAGGGCGGCAGATAGCGGCTGTCCCCGGAATGACTGTCCCAGCGCGGTGTCCCCCTGCTCCCCACCCCTGTTCAGTAATTGTTCGTTTTAATGATCCCCCGGCACAGGACAGAGCGGGCACAGCATCGCTCCCTCTCTGCTGGGGATGTGGTGGCTTTGGGGACGTGGTGGCCCTGTGGCAGTGAGCACTGGCCCCCAGGAGAGGGGTCAGTCCCTGGGTGCCATCCTCTCCCTCTAGCCTGGCCTCTGTGGGGTGGGTGGCCCAGGGAGAGTGGCTGTGTCCAGGTGGAGGGGACATGGTGGGGACATGCCAAAGAGCAGTGATGTGCCACCATGGTGCTATAGGGGACAGCCTGGGGCTGATGGGATGTGTCCCCTTGGGAAGGGAGCAGTGGCCACGATGCTCAGGAACACCCCTGGACTAGCCCCGTGGAGGGGAGAGCATTCCTGGAGCTGGGGTTCCCCTGGCACCCCAAAAATCTCCAAGGGGGCAGTGGAGGGGCTTTGGTTCAATGCCAGCCCTGGCTGTCACCTGTCATGGAGGAGTGACAGTGACACCCAGCGCCTCACAAGTTGTATTTTCACATAGTTTTTGATAAGTCAATAAAATTCTTATTGTTTTTATTTCTGTGTAGCCCAGGGAGGTTGCCCAGAGCTGGTCTCTGTGTTGGTGGCAGGGGCTGGGATGGGACAAGGGGACGGAGTCTGGCTGTGAGGTGACTGGGACACGGCCACTTTCTCTACTCTGTATTTTGGGTGAAAAAATGGGTTAAAGCTGCAGCCCCCAGCAAATCACAGCCCCAGAGAAACCCAGGCCCACATTTATGCCCTCCCCCTGCCCCACACTGAGCCAGACTGGGGGGAAACTGAGGCAGGAGCTTGACCCCAGGCCTCGGGATGTCCCTGTCACACTGCCACCGTGTCCCCATGTCCTCTTCCCTTGCTGGCAGCACGGCATCCTCTGGTAAAGTGGGGTACATGGGGTGGGGGCTGTGCCCTCCTGGGGGTGCTGCTGCCAGTGGGTGCCCCCAGGAGGGCCTGGACCTCAGCCAGACCCAGCACGAGCCTGGTGGGGACCTCTGCTCCCATCCTGCCCCCAGAATCCATCCCCTGCTCTCCCACGTTCTGAGCACCACCGTGCTCCCATCCTGGCACGTCTTGCCCACGTCAGCCACGCACTCTTGCAGCCACCAGCTTCCTGCCAGCTCTCCGGGTGCTCTCTTTCCTGTCTCGGTCCCTTCTCCGGGTCATGGGACACCGGTGACGCGCTCCCGGCGATGAAGAAATTGCCGCTGGCCGTGCGGTCACCATTGCTATTTTTGTCCTCCTGGGTATTGCAAGTCCTGGCCACACACTTGCCATCAGTGGGGTGGCCACCACCACGGTGTCCTGCTGGCCCAGCCCAGGGGGTGACAGTGCCATATGGAGGGGCCAGGGCCAGCTGTGGCCAGGGGAGAGCTGAGGGTGGGAGCCCTGATCACCCTCAAGGCAGGGGATGGATGGATGGATGGATGGATGGATGGATGGATGGATGATCATATGGATAGACAGGTTAATGTATAGCTGAACAGGTGGAGGAATTCTTGGATGGGTGCACAGATGATGGATGGATGGACAAGTGGATGGATGGATGGATGGATGGATGGATGGATGGATGGATGGATGGATGGATGGACAGCTGGTGAACAGCCTGTCGAGGCAGCCTGAGGGATGGACAAACTGCTGTGGAGCGAGCAAGATCTTCTCCTGGTTCCTCCACCTTTCCAGGACTGCCCTGGGCACAGCCCTGCCCACCCCGGCCCCACGGGACCCACCGCAGCCGCCACCTCTGCCGGGGAGGCCCCGGGGAGGAGGAAGAGGAGGAGTCATCAGAGGCAGCGGGTGGAGGAAGCAGACCGTGCAGGTCGTGGCGCGGCCGGGGCAGGGAAGTTCTGGGAAAAGAAAGAACTTCTAAAAGTGAGTGACCGCTGCATCCTTCTTCCTGGAAGGAGCTGCTAATTTCTGCCCCTGCGCCATCACCGAACTCTCCAAATGCGTAAATTCGGCGAGGGTCACCAAAATCAACGGGATTGCGACACGCCTCGGCACGCTGAGTGGAGACATTCACCTCTAAGGAACGGGAAAACCCTTGTCGGTGCCGGGCTCTGCCTGCCAGGAAGGGGACAGAGGGGACTGTCCTGGGTGCCTCTGGCTGTGCCGAGGCCGTGGCAGCCCCAGGGCTCTCCCAGGGCAGCGTTGCACAAGGGGCAGCGCTGCCTTGGGCAGCACCCGGCGCCCTCGGTGTTCCGTGGGTGCTGCCGGGCACAGAGGCTAAGGCTGGTGTCCCCCACTTGGTTCAGCTCCCCAATTTGTCACCCAGAGGTGTGGGTGGGTGTGAGCAGGTGGACGGAGCATCCCCTGGAGCATCAGGCAGTGCTGGGATGCTGTGCACTTCCCACACCTCCATCTCCCTCCTTGTCAGTGTAGATTTTTGCCTCCCACAGCTGGATTTGGGATGCGAAACCCCCCGTGGTGGCACACGGGTGACATCCCTGTCCCCGCTGCCAGCCGCCACTGCCCTCTTTTGCATTGGGGTTTCGGGGCAGCCGGCGCTGGTTTCAGTTCAACCTGTCGGGCGCTGAGCGGTGACACCAGCGGGAAACAAAAGGTCTCTTTCCCAAGAAGCCCAGGATTTCCCAGGACCCGGGGGTCCTGCCGGGTCCGGGCTGAGCGGTGGGACCGCAGCCTCCCCGGCTGGACCCACCCGGACTCCCTCGAGGAACTGACTCGAAGAACATCCCCAGCACCGTCCGGCCCCGCTTCCTCCCGCGCTGCTCTCACCCTGCTCATTGGCCCCCGGGACACGGCTTCATTTCTCGCTGCCTTCCGCTGTCCTGGTGCCTCCTTCGGAGGGGTGACTCGGGTGCGCTTTAAAAGCCGCGCTTCCCCATCGCCGAGCGCTTAAGGAAGTGGCTTTGCGCGCCCGGCAGCCCCGGGCGGACACCCTGCCCCGGCCATGCGGTGCGACGGGCGGCCCTGGGCAGTGCTGGCAGGTACGTGTGTGCCCGTGTGCCGTGACCCCGCGTCCCCTGTCGCTCGCCCCGGCCGGCAGCAGCGGAGGGAGCGCGGCCGCGAGGCCCCCGTGGAGTCAGCGATGGCACCGAGGCTGTGCCACGGCAGTGTCGCCTCCCTCGGGCGCTGGCGGGGACGGGGACATTCCCCGCTGAGGCACATGGGGAGCGCTGGGAGTGGGCAGCCAGGGAGAGAGGGGATGCTGGGAGCGGCAGGCAGGAGGGGACAGTTTGGGGACCAATGGCGGAAGGTCAGGGGTCAGCTTGCCCAGAGGGACAGAGGCTGCGTGTCAGCCCAGTGCCATATCCAACGTGCCGTGGGTGACAGAGGGACTGGGACAGTGACTGGCAGAGCTGGACAGCGGGACTGGATCCAGGAGTGTCACTGCTGTCCCCTCCTTTGCGGTGGCCGTGCTGGCAGGGGGAGCTGCTGGAGCAGCTGCTGTGGTTGGTCTGCGCATCCCAGCCGCTCCACAGCACCTCCAGCACCCTCCTCCTCCTCCCGGCGGGTGCCCAGCAGGTTTTTGGCGCAGGGTCTGTGGTGCAGGCAGCACTCCTGGCACAGGGGTGGTGACCCTGTGAGAGGGCTGTCCCTGCACCCAGCGATGTCCCAACGGCCCCTGACTCCCTCCTCTTCATCCCCAGCTGTCGCCAAAGGGCTCCTCATCCTCTGGGCAGTGCCGGGCCAGGGGGGCAGGTCCCCGCTGGCCCCCACCGTGCAGCAGACCCAGGCGCTGGTGAGGCTCATGGCCGAGGACGCGCAGGAGCTCTTCACCTTCTACGTGAGTCCCCTTCCCCAGCGCGAGGGGTCACGCCTGTCCCCTCCACAGGGCAGCCGGGGGGCGGTCCCCGTGCTGCTTCCACATCCCTGATCTTCCTCTCCAATCTCTGGGCAGGAGAAGGAGCAGCACCTGGCCATCCACAATATCTGCCGCACCAACAACACGCCCGAGTGGCTGCAGAGGCCGACAAGGGGGCCCTGGGGGCTGCGGAGGCTGCGGAGGCCCATGATCCACATGGAGCAGGCGCTGCAGGACATCATCCGCCACCAGCGCGACCTCCACCACCCCGAGGCCGAAATCCTTCGCCGCCTGAACAGGACCCGCCTGAAGGTGCGAGCGCTCCTCAGCAACCTGGCGGGGCTCTTCTCGGTCCCCGGCCCCCGCCCCGGCCGCCGGCCCCTCCCCAGCCCCGCGGCATCCCTCGGCATCTTCCGACAGAAGCTGCAGGGCTGCCAGATCCTCTGGAGCTACGCCCGCTTCATGGCCGAGCGCAGGGCCGAGCTGGGCGCCGGGAGCCGCCGGACGCGCCGGGAGCAGGGGAGATCGCCCCGGGGCTCACGGCTGCCCGCACGGCCCTAGGGCAGCCCCGCCGGCACCGGAGCTCCCGTCTGCAGCTCCCTCGTCTCCATCATCTCCATCTCCGTCCCACGTGAGGCGATCTCAACCGCATTCCCAGGATGGAGAGGCATCCGATGGCCGGGATGCCCCACGGAGCCCCTCTCACCTCACCCGGGCAAGGGCTCGGATGCACTGACGGCATCTCCCGCCGCTTCGGCTGCTCGTGGGGACCCTGCTGTCCCCGAGCCACTACTGGGCTGCAGGACAGCCCTGGCTGGCTCTCCCACCTCCTGCCCCGCTTTCCCGAGGATCCAGGTGGCCCCAGTGGAGCCGGGTGTCCCCCGGGTGCCCAGCTGTTCCCTGTCCCCGAGCCCTGCCGGATTTTCCAGTGATTCAATGGGTCGGCTGACACAGCCTGACTCAGAGCTGCTCGCCCAGCACCCGCCACGGGCCCACGGAGAGCGCCGCTGCCACCGGCGGCTGTCACCGGTGTTGTCACCCCCTGCCCGCCCGCCGCCAGCTCTGCTCCCAGGGAGAAGCTGGGAGTGGAATCCCGTGTCCCTGCACGGTCTGTGTCCCTCTGTGCTTGGTGTCCCCGAGCTCAGTGTCCCTTTGCACATCCCGGTACGCTCAGTGTCCCCTGTGCTCTCAGTGTCCCCAGGCTCACTCCTGCACTCTGGGTGTTGCCATACTCCCAGCATCCCTGTCCCCTCCGTGTCTCCCCCGAGCCTCCCAGGCCGTGCCAGCACAGCCCTGACTGTGCCCAGCAGGGGCTCGGCTCTGGCCACTGCACTGTGACAGTGGGTGACAGCTCCCACTGCCTCCCCTTTATTTATACATTAATATTTGCCTGTTTATTGTATTTATTGATTGTTAGGGTTAATTTAACTCCTACAGCTTGCAGAAGTATTTAAGAAGGACATTTCTAATATATAAATATATATTTTTATTATTTTTTTGTACGGTGTTAAACTATGAACATCGCAAGGATTTATTTATGTATATTGATATTTTTGGTACACATAGATGGGCAGTGCCCCCGCCCACGTGGCACTTCTTTATTTTTGTACAATGGCAGAAGGAAATAAAGTGCTGACCTTGGCCCATGGGCCACTGAGACGTTGTGTCCCTGTGTCCCTCTGTCCCTGTGTCTGTCCTGATGGCGGTGGGCAGGGAGAGGCTCTGTTCTGGTGGCCAGGCTGTGCCTGGTGTCCTTGCCAGGGTACATGGGATGTGACATGGGGTGGTGTGGGGCATGTGGGACAACATGGTGTGACACATGGCATGGCACAAGCTGGGATGTGGCCCGTGGCATGGCCCAGGATGTGGCACTTCATAGTGGGGCCCATGGCACGGGACACAATGTGGCACACGATGGGATGTGGCACAGGACGTGGCACACAACACAGCGTGACACAGGGCATGTGACATGACAGGCTGTGGTGTGCCACCACAGCGCCTGGCACTGCCAGGGATGTGCCATGCCAGGGAATGGCACAGGCCACACGACACCTTGTGCCACGTGTCACAGCCCCGTCTGGGCCATCACCTCAGCCACGCTGAGTGCAGTGTCCTGCAGCCTGGCCACGGCCACCATGGGGACCGAGCCACCCACTGCCACCGGTCCCTCTGAGTCAAAAATCCTAAGACCTGGTCATGTGTCCCCGTGGAGTCACTCGTTCCCGTGGGTGCCGTGTGCGGCCGGAGCGCCCGGCTCTGCCGCCGGCACTGCTGCCTGACTCAGTCCCGGCAGCGCCACCGGGACGGCCACCACGGCAGCTGGGGACACTCGTGTGGGACAATGTCACCATGAAGCAGCCCGGGCCAGCTCAGCGTGCTGTGGGTGACCGTGGAAGTGACCGTGACTGTGCCACCACCGGGCCGCCCACCTGGCTCTGGAGAGGGCTGCAGAGGGGAGGGTGCAGGTACGTGACCCTCGGGAGGGCTGGGGGACCCCAAACACTGGGTGACACCAGCTGAGTGTCACTGAAGGGGTGGTGGCTTCTCTGGTGTCCCCAGCGGGACACCCAAGGGAACCCCAGTGTCCACTCATGGGGAAAGCCTGTGGATGACACCTGTGGGATGACACTGCTGGGGTGGCACCAGTGGGGTGACATTGGTGGGCACAGGGACAGGGGGAGGCAGCCCCGGCAGGGACCCATCGTGAGTCCAAGGGGAATTCGGTGCCCTCCGTTACTGAGCTCTGGACTTCCCCAGGCCAGGAGCCCCTGCCCCGCTCAGCCCCCCGGGAGAGGTCCCTGGGCACCCCCGGACACCCCACAGCCTTGTCCCCGCTCCTGGGGGACACCCGGGGCTTTTGGTGACCCCGGAATCTGGGTGACCCTGGAATCCGGTGTCCCCCTGCACGGGGACACTGCAGGATGGGGACCTGGAAGGGAGCAACAGGGGGACAAGGATGGGATGTGGGGGGCAATTATGGGGTGGGCCAGAAATGGGGGGAGCTGGGGCAGTTCTGAGAGGGGCTGGGGCAGGGGGGACAGTGACGGGATGGGGAAGGGCAGGAGGGGACAGCTGCTGGCTGGGGAGAGGAGAGGTCTGGGGTGGGGAAGGAGCGGGGGGCAGCTGCAGAGCAGGGATGAGATGGGTCAGTTCTGGGTTGGGATGGGGTGGTGGGGGCAATTATGGGATGGGGAGAGGCCAGTTCTGAGCTGGAGCAGCAGGGGGCAGTACGGGGACAGGGATGGGACAGGAATGGGGACACGGATGGGACAGGGACGGGACAGGGATGGGACAGGGATGAGCGGACATGGAAGAGGGATGAGGAGGGGGACAGCGTAGGGACAGGGAAGAGGGAACAGCAGGGGGACAGGGATGCGGCAGAGAGGCGTCATGGGGACAGGAAGGGGACAGGGACGGGGTGGGGTGTCTGCGATGGAGCTGAGGACAGCGGCGGGCAGGGATGCTCGGAGGGGAGCGCTCGGAGGGGCCCAGAGGAGCAGCAGCACGGCAGCGTGGCCTTGGAACACCCTGGGCTTGTCCTCTTGTCCCTGGGCAGGCCAGCGGTGGGGATGGAGGGGGCAGTGGGGACATTGGGGACACTGGGGACAACTGCCCCCTCACCGAACTGCCCCAGCTCCTCCTGGGGCCCCCCAAACCCCACAGGTCCCCGACCCTCAGTCTCTCCTGACAGGGAGGGCTCCCCCCGGCCCCGCTTCCCGCTCCCTCCTGGGGACACGCCGGGACCCCCGCCCCTGTCACGGTCTCCTCAGGCTCCTGCAGCCCCACTCCTGCTGCCCATCCCCACCGGACATCGGCACAGGGTCTGTGCGGGGATATTCCTGCTGCCAAAGGGATTGGGGAAGGGGATATTCCTGGGCATCATCTCCCCTCCTGGTACCTCCCACCCTGGCATCTCCCATTCTGCCATCTCTCTGTCCAGCCTGTCTGGACCAGGAATTCTGTATTTCCCACCTGAGCATCCCCCCTGCACAGGTCCAGCGTCTCCCCTCGGGTTTGTCTTTTTTCCTGGAGAAAACCCATCCTTTAATCCTAATGCTTTTGCCCCAAGGGCTGAGCTGCAGGTGGGGACACCGGTGCCACCTTGATGATCCCACCATGACCAGGGGTCCCACAGCCCTCGGGGGACCTCAAAGCCCAGCTCAGCTCCAGCCTAGACTCAGTTGCCCCTGGGAAATCCAAGAAAAGGGCAAATCCGTGTCAACCCCTGCACACAACCCCCCCAGGATGTTGCCTATGCTAATAATTAAGTGCTATTAATTCTTCAGCTAATTAAGTGTGTCAGGCCGTCAGATGTCCATCAATACGAGATGTGCTGCTCCCCATATCCCAAAAAGACTGGGATGAGGCTGCAGGGAGGGAGATGGATCTCATCGTCCCCACCCTCCACAGTCCCCAGCTCATCCCTGATGTCCCGCTAGGAACAGATTGGGCTAAACTGGGCTGGGGCATCAATGCCACCGGCAGACCAGGCTGGTTCTTGCACCGGGAAACTGAGGCACGCAGCAGCTATGGCCCTGCCCCGCTGGTACAGAGGCATCTTCTTGTCCCCCCTCGTGTCCCCCCTTAAAGGGAGGACGCCCGGGGTCGTGGCGGCTCTTGCGTCATCGTTCCTGGACTGTCACCGCCGGTTCACCTGCCGGGGCACAAACTTGCTAAACCTGATTAAAGCTTCAGGTCGGCCCCGGCGAGAAAAAATACAGAGAAGGACCAAAAAAAATCAATTTAACCTGTTTTTCACCCACATCGGGCAGCGAACAGCCCCGCAGTGTCCTGATCCCACGGAGTCCCCACGAGACGGTGACCCAGCGCCCTCCTGTCCTCTCCAGCACCCTCTGCCCGCTCCAGGCAGGGGACAGCCCCGCCTAGGGAAGGGTTAACCCGGGGGGGGCCGGTCCGGCCTCTCCCCTGGCTGGGTTTGTCCTTTTTCCTGCAGAAACCCACCCTTTACTGATAATACTTTTGCCCAAAGGGATGAGCCAGCGGCGGGCTGGGGGACACCGCTGCCACCGCGGCCATCCCACCGTGACCGCGGAGTGCGGCACCCCACCACCACTTCCCCGCGCCTTCCATCCCTCCAAAACTCCAAACAAACCCCAAACCAGAGCTTTTTACCGCCTTCGTTTTACTGCTTGCTCCGGCAGCCAGCGGGGAAGCCTCGGCCCGGGGAGGGGGCCCCGGGGGTGACAGTGCTTGCGGCTCCCGAGTCCCAGCACCGCTCCTTCTCCGCCGCTCCTCGACACCCCCGAACCCCATGTGCACCTCCCTTGGGGGGGCTTCAATTCATCCCTTCCAGCCCACCCACTTCCCCGAGCCCGCGCGTAAAACAAAAGAGGACACAGTGCTTGTTCTCAGAAGTTTATTTCGAATAATCATGTTTAAGCCCTCCGACTTCCTGATTCCCAAATTCAATGGAAGTAACTATAGCCGATCCGATGATTCTCTCCCCCCCCCCGCTCTTCTCCTCCCTCTGACTCCGCAGGCTGGCTGCCGGACCGGTATATAAACCCCGAGAAGTCCCCCAGTATGAACATGAATTTCTGAAAACTTCCTCTGCCAACACCAATCCCTATTAAGTCGCTCCCGGGACGCGGCTCACAATGAAGTTCGTGCCGGCAGGTAAAAAAAAAAAAAAATCGACTTCGGGGATACTATTTCCCCTTCTCCCCCTCCCCCTTTTTTCCTCCCCCTCCTCTCCTTTTGCCGGTGATGCTCTGGCGCAGGCGGGTCCCGGTTGGATGCCGCCGCTGGAGCCGGAGCGAGGGCTCCCGCCGCGCTGCGTCCCCCCCGGGATGAGCATCTCTGGGAATTGGCAGCGGGAGCGGAGCGCGGCGCTGGCGCGGTCCAGCCAACATCTGGACACTTATATAACTGGAAATGCTTCCAAGGAAAAAAAAAAAAATCTCTAGGAGGGGGGAATTTTTTTTTTTAATTTTTTTTACTTTTAAATACTTTCTCCCCCGCTGCCGCTTTTCCTCCTTCTGGGTCTCCCGATGCCTCAAGCCGCTGCCGTGCCGGGAGCGATGGAAGGATGGGGAGGCTGCCAAGTGCAGGAGGGGGATCGGAGGGAGCAGCCCCCAGCCCAGAAGCCGTTCTGGGGGTCCCACGGGGCAGCACCCACTGGGGACTCCCCACCCACCCAGATCCCGGCACACGTGGGGCAGAGCCTCTCCCTGCCCAGCTGTGAATGGGCGGAACAGCGGCCGGGGGGGCACAGCGAGAGGGGCTCCTGAGGCTCCGGGAATCTGCATCCCCTAGGAACAGCCGGGGCCCCGGGGGAGCGGGTGGCAGGGTCCCCCCGTCCCGTGCAGGAGGGGAGCGGGGGGTCAGGGACTGGAACACGCCCAGGTAAATCCTCTCCCACCTGGGCAGGGTAAATAAATCGAGGCTCGGATTACCCGGCACCGGCGGCACGTCCGAGGCGCTGACAAGTGCTGGCGACTTCGGCGCTCGTCACTGCCCGGGGACTTCGCCCGGCAGTCCCACCGCGGCGGGGCACGGGACCCCCACCCTGACGGGGCCCTGCTGGTGGCATCCAGGTCACCCAGCGGCGGGGACACCCTGGCCACCCTGCCCGAGGTCGCCCAGGGCAGTGGCGGGCTCCAGAGGCGGTTTGGCCTCTCCGAGCACGGGTGGATCCCGGTTTGGGGGGATCCCAGCGGACTGAGGCTTGCAGCGCCCCGCTCTCAGCACGGAACGCGGGGCGACCCAGCTGCCGGCGGCTCAAGGGTCCCCTTGTTCCGCGTCCAGGGACTTCCTGGCTGGAGTCTCCGGCAGCTGCGTCGTCTCTCCCCAGGGCTCCTCGGCACTGCGCCCACTTCTCAGACGGGGAAACTGAGGCAGGCCGTGGGGCCGGGAACGGGAGGAAGGAGGGAGGGCATGCCGAGAGCAGGTTTCCTTGCGGGAGCCCCGCTGAGTCAGCCGGGCCGGGGTGGGGCCTTGCTCCCGTAGCGCCCGGACCAGGATAACGGAGGAAAAAGCGTCTTGCACGTTTGATTAAACACGACAGGTCGCCACCGGGCCGGTTGCGAAATGTGGGAATGCTGCGGGGCCCCTCGCCGGGAAGGGAGGCGGGGGAGCGCCTGCCGGGGGGCAGGTGAGGGGGACGGCAGCGGGATGGGAGCTGCGGCACGGCCGGGACGGCAGAGCGGGGGGTCTGGGGATTCCAGCTGATCTGGGCGCACACCCCGGCGGGTGAGTCCCTGCTCCAGCTGGACACCCTCCCTCTGGGTGCCTGGAACTGGGATCATCCTGGGTGGATGCATCAGCGACAACGTGATGGGCCAGCATCGCCTCGTCCCGGTCCCCACCGTGACAGCGGCCTCTCTCCCCACACAGGCGTCGTGCCCTTCGTGGCCCTGCTCCTGCTGCAGCGGCGGCCCGTGGCCGGCCGGGCGCTGCTGGTCACCGGCTCCGGCTGCCCCAGCCACGGCTTGTGCCGCTCCAACGTGCAGGAGCAGACCCGCAGGCAGGTGGCCGTGCTCAACGCCACCGCCCAGGAACTCTTCAGCCTCTACGTAAGTGGCGCTCGGGGACGGCCGGGGATCACGGCGGGGGGACTGAGCCCCAGGGGCATGAAGGGGAAGGGCTGGGGACACCGCGGGGACGGTGGCAGGGGGGACATGGGGTGACGTGGGGTGACGCTCGCCTCTCCTCCCAGCTGAAGTGCCAGGGAGAGCCGTTCAGCAGCGAGAGCGACAAGCTCTGCAACCCCGCCGGAATCTTCTTCCCCGCTTTCCGCGTGAACCGGACGAGCGAGAGGAAGGAGGTGATGGTGGCCATGTACAAGCTCTTCGCCTTCCTCAACGCCTCGCTGGGCAACATCACGCGCGACCAGGAGGAGCTGAACCCCATGGCCAAAGAGCTCCTTGAGCGGCTCCACAACACCACCAAGACCACCCGAGGCCTCATCTCCAACCTCACCTGCCTCCTCTGTAAGAACTACAACATCTTCCAGGTGGACGTCAGGTACGGGGACAGCTCCAAGGGCAAGAGCGCCTTCAAGAAGAAGCAGCAGGGCTGCCAGGTGCTCAGGAAGTACGTGCAGGTCATCGGCCAGGCAGCACGTGTCCTCCTACCTCATCTCAGCCCCTCATGAGCGCCCGCCCCGGCTACGCTGCCTCTCTGCTGCTGGGCGGCCCCCACCGCTGCCTCCCGCATTCCCGCCTCCCTATTTATTACCCAGACCCTTCGTCGGCCCCATCCGCCCTCCGGTAATTTATTACCCCTTGAGGGGGTGAACGTTGCAGCCCGGAGTGTCCCGGGCAGAGCAGAGCCGGCATCCAGCAGGACGAGGCAGCGCATCTCCGAGGAGCACGGGCTGGTCCCAGGATGTGCCTCAGCCATCCCCGGGCTCCCGTGGGCTGTGGGGGTGGCGGCAGGGCCGGACTCTGTCCCCCACAGACGGTGTCATTATGGAGAGCACCCGGACAGATGCCCTTGAGCACCGCCTGAAAGCTGTCGCTTCCCTGGAGAAAAGATTGTGAGGAAGGCCACTGGGATGCAGGGACTTGGACAAGTGGGGACATGGGGACACGCTCCCCCTGCACATTTTAAGGCTGGGTTCCCCTGCAAGGAGTCAAACTGAAGGTACTGAGCCGCAAACTGGTGGCTGTGCTAGCTAGGGCTGGGTCCCACTGTCTGGGACAAGGCCACCTGTGTGGGACAGTCACCCCACTGTGGAGCATCATCCCCCCGCGCGGGCACGGCGGGGCACGGTCCTCTCCTTTGGAAAAGTGCTTTTCCCTTCGGAAGAGCTCTGAATGTACTAATGACCAAGAGCTGGGCTTTACACGGCTGAATGCAGCCCTGGTGGGGACATGGGACAAGGGGACACGGGGACATGGGACATGGGTACATGGGATACGGGGACACAAGGACATAGGGATGTGGGATATGGGGACGTGGGGACAGAGGGACGGGCCCCAGGTCGGTGGCAGGTGGCGCTGGCGCGTTCCTGACACCAGAGCGGGCTGTGAGGGTTATTTATTGCCTTCGTGGAAAGCCCAGAGTGCACTGAGAACTGACTTTTAACTATTTTATTGCCAATAATTGCTAATAATTAATAATAAGATTTGTGGTAATATATTCCTGGAATTCTATTTAAATATTTATTTTTTTATATTTCTTGCTCTACTTTTTTAAAATAAACCAATAGAAACAGACTGTATTTGGCTGCTCTTCCTTGGGTGCCGTTTGTGCTCACCCTCAGACACCTCTGCTCCCCTAAAGCACCCTCAGGGAAAAAAAACCTTCAAGGCATGGCTGGGGATCACAGTCCCCTGTCACCTTGTTCCTTCCTGCCTTCCCGCCTGCTATAGGATGGCTGATTTGAAATATATTTTTCCAGGTGGGAGGAATGTTTAAATTGACTCACCAGCTGCTCAGAAGTGCTGGGATGATGTGGAACCATCGTGGTGCAGGGACCATTGTGGTGCAGGGACTGTCCTGGCACGGGGAGCATCGTGGTGTGGGTACCACGGCAGCGTGGGGAGCATCATGGCATGGGCACCACCACAGTGAGGGGACCATCCCAGGGTGTGGAGCACCGTGGTGTGGGGAGCCCCACTCTGCCAACCCTGGAAGTTCCTGTGGAAACGGAGAAAGGCTGGGAGGAGGCTGAGGGAGCTGAGTGAGCATGTGCGAGGTGGAGGGGACACACCAGATAAAATCAAAGCCGCTTCCCAGGCTGTGCTGGGAGAGGCTCAGCAGAGCTTTGCCGGGGCCAAGACCACCTAAGGCTGCACCAGCAGCCCAGTGCTCAGCGAGCGCCTCGCATGGGGCTGTATCGGTTAACAAGAGCCTGATTATACAGGAGACGTTGGAGCAGGATGATGAAATTTTCCTCCTCCTCCAGAGCCCTTGGGCCACTGGCCAAACCTCCCAGGCATGAGACAGCAAGCGGATGAGCTAAGATCCTGTGTGATCATCTCTCATGTCTCAGAGGAGCCCCAACCTAAAGATCACCACAGAAATCCAGAAGTTGCCCCCTAAGCCCCTGTTCCTCTGCCCTGCAGGGCCGTGTTGCCCAGTTGTGCCCCTCAGCTCCTATGGGAGGTTTTGTGGCATGGGTTTGACCCCAGACTGGCACTGCCTTGTGCCAGTGGCAGCCTTGTGGTGACAGCAGGGCCAGCGGTGCCCATTTCCAGCCTGGCCCTGCTGTCCCTTCATGGAAGGGGCAAATGCCAAAAGAGAACGGGCTCCTCCATCCCACAGCCGAGACACCCAGGGACATCCCTGGATGCCATGGTGTCTCCCCATGCCTGATGTGGCTTTCTTCCATCATCCAGCCTGCCACCGGGGAAGGGGCCCTGGGTGTCCCCTGTGTCCCTTCCCTATAGGATGCCCATTTTGGAATTGCAGCCCATTTGTGGGGCTCGTTTCCTACCTGCACTGTGGGATACAATGCACTCAAAGCAATACACCCCCCCCCCCCCCCAAAAAACAGAGGCATGGGGCAGGGCATCATCACTTTAGGATGGGCATTATGCCCCAGGACCAGTCCTGCAGCACCTGTCACCATGGTACCCTGATGGCTGCCAGCTGACCTGACCCTGCAGCTGGGGACATACAGGTGTCCCCATGGCTATGGTTACCACGGCATTATGTGGCCAACAATTCCCATGCTGGGAAGTTCAGGGCTGGACATCCAAACGTAGCCTTTCCTTGTGTCAACACCCACAGTTCATCCCCGCCAGGGACATGGAAGGTGCCGTGGGGTGCCACAAACCCGCCCCGGGCAGCTCCAGGGCTGTCAGGGCCCGGGGACAGGGTCGGGCCCGGCGGGGCCGGGAGCTGGGCTGGGGACGATGTGAGCGAGGAGCCGTGCACATCTGGATTTCTCACGCTTGCGTTCAACAACCCTCCTCAACCAGATGGCAAAAATAAATAAATAGAATAAATCACAGCCTCCTGACATAAATCGGGAACTCACGCCCCGGCTCTGCGTTTCATGAGTCTCCCTGGAAGACAGTCAAACACAGGCGAGGACAATGGGTTCACTTCTCCCCTGTGTCGGGTCATTCCCAGTTAAGGCTCATTAGCAGCAGGCGCGGTATTAACTCTTCCTTCCCTGGAAATGCGTGGACAAGCCCCTAAAATTCCCCAAATCCCTTCCTCTATCCTCCCGTGAGGTTTGGGATTCGGGGCCGGCGGTGACCCCCGGCTCGTGCCATCGCCCCAGCGAGGCAGGACGCGCTGCTCTGCTCATCCCAGACTCGGGAGAGATGGAAAGGGCTTTCAATTACCTCAGCCAGCGGCTGATCCCACCCAGCCGGCGCCCCGGGGAAGCGGGCCAGCCCCGCGAGCCGGACCGGGAGCGCCGCGAAGGACCCGGCGCTGCGGCTTCCCCAGCGGCACCGGCAGGACCCTGTCAGTGACTCCCCTTCGGCCCCAGGACCAGAGAAACTCTGTAGGCTGGGACGAGGGCCAGGAGGGGCTCCGGGGAGCCATCCGTTGCGATGGGAGCGATGCCCGCGCCCCGATAACGGAGCGGCCTGACCACGGGCCCCGAGCGGCGGGTCAGCCAGCCTTCGGGGAGCGGGATACGTGAGGAGCTGCTCCTGCCCGCGGTGAAGTCAGTGCCGCTGCCTGGGTGTGACTGACTGACCTCAGCCCTTGGCCCCGCGGCGCGGATCATGTGCTGCCTGACGCCGCGCGAACCCGGCCGGACGGGCCCTGCGCTGCCCCGGGGCCACCGGCCAGACGGGACTTGCCGTCCGCGGGGCAGGTGCGGGGCTGGGGCACCGCCGGCTGCGCGTCCCCTGCGCGGCGTGACCCGCGCTGCATCCCCGGCACCGAGCCGGCGGGAGCATCCCGAGCGGGGCTGACCTCGCCGGCAGAGCCGGGGGTGGCGGTCGGGTCGCTCCCTGAGAGATCCCAGGTGGAGCATCCCGCCTTCCCCCGTGTGCCCTCAGGCTGGGGTCGGACCCATTGGTGCCCACGGCAGAGCCCCTTCCCCACCCAGGGGTGCCCCCAAGGCTCGGCCAGACGCGTTTGGCTGGTGACCATCCTCCCAGCAGGTCCTCAAGCCGGGTCCCCGAGGACGGGAACATCGCATCCCGAGGGCCGGCTGGAGGCTCCATCCAGGGCTGGCCGCCGGCCCGAGCACGCAAAGCAGAGCCGAGCCCATCTGAAACGCATTCGGGCACTGTTGCTGCAATAGCAGATGCTCCTGCGGGTCGCCGGCCACATCACAGCCCGGCGGAGAGGGAACCGCGCGCTCACATGGGAAGAAACAGTTCTTGTCCCAAACGGCTCGAACTCCTAATTGGGGACCAACCGTGACAAATAAACAAGACAATGGGCTGGAGGCGAGACGAACGCAACCTCTGTCGCAGGACCCGGCTCCGAGAGCCGCCCCCGTGCCCAGCAGGGGACCTGGCACAGGCCCGCAAGAGCCGGGGGGAGGGCAGCGGCCAGGATCCGGACCCCCCGGCAGAGCCGCTCTCTGTGTGACACCGCTGGAGCTCGGGGCTGGCTCGGGAGCAGGATGACACATCCCCAGTGGTCCCCCGAGACCCTTGTCGGTAGCTTTGCTCAGCAAGTGTTTAGTCTCATTTGGAGAGGGGTCAACTCCAGCCCTGTGGAGCTGCTGGAGCGGCCTCTCCTTGCTGCACCCCAGCTTGGGGCTGGCTGGAGACCCCCCCGCATGGGGCTTAGGGACCCTTCTCCCTCAGGGAGGGGATGCTTCGGGCTGCCTTGGAGAGACGGGCGGGGCCAGCCCCGGGGATCTGATAGCGCTGTTATCTCTGCGCAGCTATCGCCCTCCAACAGAGACCGGGGCACTTCCACAGCCCCGGGTGCGCTTGGCACCTATGGAGGAGCCTCGATAAAGTGCTCAGTGCCCTGGCCAGACCCTCAGCATGCAGAGCACCCGGTCATCAGTGCCCAAACGGGAGTGAACATCTGCTCCACTAGTTCCACTAGTTCTGTGGAACTCCTGCTCCACTAGGGTCTCATGGGATGTGGAATCTGCCTTGAAGACTGAGCCCAAAACCCAAAATTCAGCAGGACCTGTGAGGTTGAAGCTGTTTGAGACACATCTGCTTAACAAGGCATTTCAGATGGCCTGAGCCTACATAATTCCTGGCCCTAGGGGGAAATCAGGGCTCCAGGGAAAGATCTCACCTAAGGAAAGGGAGAACAATTTGTGATGAGGTAGAGGGCTGGCAAGAGTGAAGAGATGGGAAGAAAAGTGTTTGGAAGCAAATCCCAAGCAGGCTTCCAGAGGAGCAGGCAACACTGGGAGAGACCCATTAGGATGGCAGGGATGGTGGCGAAGGACCAGCCCTGGGACTAAGCAGGAGCTGTGGCAGGTCCCCAGGCTCCTTGGAGCCAGGGCTGCAGAGAGGGTACATGCCACTGAAGCCCCCTGTCCCAGCTCATGGCCTCCAGCCCTGTAGGACACACAGGGTTGTGCCACGTTTGGCTGCACATCAGTGCAGCTCTGGGGGAAGATGAACCCCTGCTGTCCCTTTGCCCACTAAAACTAATTCAGGGAGTCAGCAAAAGGAGTGGAGATTCCTGGAGAAACAGAGGAAAGGAAAGAAGAGGTTCCTCTCAATATGAAGGGGAGAGGGACACCAGCCCTGGCTGAGACTGAGGGGTCTGTCCCCACTCTTTACTCTCCTCACACTCTCCAACCCCAGGGCACAGCAGCACTTCCAGCCCAGTGGCACCACAGGGGAACAGGGGGACACTCCCAGTTAAAACTGGGGATGTCCCATCCTTTATTTCCCTGCTCAGCAGCAGGGAAATAAACCAAACAGCAGCAGGACCCCTCTGCTGAGGACCCCCAGCCCATGCCTGCAGCAAGGCAGGGATTGAGCCTTGATGGGCACCTTGGGTGTCCCACCAAACTTGGCTGCACCTCCCTCACCTGGCTGAGCTCACCATGAGGATGCCAAACTTCCCCCCTGGCCTTCAGTGCATCTGGGACAGGTTTTAGGGCCAGAAGAGTTGACATGTTCATTTATTACAGCAGAATGGAGTGCTACCTGGCCTGGGTCACGCTCCCCTCTTGTTTCCTAAGAAAACAAGGTGTGCGTGCAATCCTGCCGGGCGAGCGTGTGCGCGCCTGTGGCTGCCAACCAAATTTGACTAAGGGCCCGAGGCTCCAGAGATAGGAAGTTCC